AGTCCATCTTGGGATTTATGCGCACCTACCAGTATTTAGTGCAGCACCCGTCGGACTTTGCGCTTGCAGAGAAACACGGCCTTTTGCCAATCGACTGCGATTCGATATACAAGAGAGCAGACGGCGAAAATGTAGCTGCAGAGCTGGCTTGTGGGGACGAAAACTCCAGGATTACTTATACTTCCTTTGTCAATTTTATTCAGGCGTTCGGGCCCTTGGCAATACTTGACGCTGATGTGAGCCCTCGTTATCAGTACGGTCAGCTGCGCCTTGGACCCCTTAATTTCTGGGGAAAGTTTGTCTTGCGCAAGTTTGTCTTTTTCAAGGTTTACGGCAATTACGATGCCTACTTTAGTCGTTTTTACGGCCCCTTGTTGTTTACCTTTGGCGTTTTGAGCATCCTTATCAGCTCCATCCAGCTGGGCTACTCTTCTCAACAGGGGTTATATGGCACCACAAAGAATTCATGGCGTCCATTGTACAAGGTTGGTGAGGGATTCTGCGTGGCTGTTATGCTTGTCGTTTGCCTCATAGGTGTTTGTCTGATTGTGGTGTTTGTGTTCATGACAGCGAGAGAGATCACACTTGCGTTGGCGGCCTTGAGAAGGAAGAAAAGGAAGAGCAATAGTCATGCCCCGTGGCAAGGGCAGCTGGATAGTAGTTGAGACACAGCGTATCGCAGTTTTAGGGCAATAGGGTAGGCAAAGGAAAAATGGAGGTGGTTATTTGAATTGAGAAACAAGGCACTGGAGGGAACGTGTAGGCTCGCTTGATGTGGAACTACCAGCATCCTAAAGACGTCCTATATGGCCATGGCACGAAAGTGTATGGACGTCTTCGTACCCAAAGATACTTGGATACTTGGGAAAGAGCCCGGTCCCAAGGCTAAGTATTGGATTGCTTTGTGTCATGGAACTGGAGGACCAAACAGTCCACGTCCTGGGATGCTCCGAGGGCTTTTGCTGCTATATAAAGTCTGGTCTCAACTGGTACTTAAGTAAGTACGGAGCTTGTAGTTGGGTTACCGCCGCATATTAATGCATGCCCACACCCCAAGCTGGCACACCCTTTTATACACTTCTCGTGGGACATGGGAGCCTAAATTCTAGGCAGACGTCAATGGAGCTAGCAAGGATCCTCGGCGCGGATGTTGGAGACATGGTCTCCATTCGGCAGGCCGGGCGTTTAACCCCGCATATCATGGCACCGTCAACATCAAGTCAATTGGATCTCTCTGACTACATGTAGCCCCTGCCTGTCATAATCTCATCGCAACTTGGACGTCAATGTTAGGATATGCATAACTGGTCTACTTGACTGCTTTCTGACGCCTTGATATTTCGGGTAATATTGTGTTGAGTGCCTCGTGGGTTGAAAGTGCATGCATACCAGGCATGTGACTTTGCCTATACGATGGTTGCTGCCTACTTGGGCTGCATCCTGCAAGGCAAACCGAACTGACATGTCAACGCCGTTGGGTGTGGAGAACTACGGGTCGACCGGTGGTCTATCCATCACAACATTGAACTCTCTTCTCCCTTCCCTAGCTGATGCAGGCTTGGCCCTGATAAGTTGTACCAACAGTCCTTCTTGGCGAGAATGTCGCCTCATACACACAGCCGGCGTGGTCTCGTTCTATTTCCCCCCCGGTTTTACTGCAAATCAGAAGGCTAGAGTAGGGCCAACCGCATGATTTCAATTTCTTGTGAACAACTGCGCAGCCAACAGATGGTGAAGCCCAATAATAAAGGGCCTTCGCCGACAAAGGGCCTGTTGGTTAGGCAGATTGAATACATACACGTGCCCGGGTAAGAGCCAAGGCACACCAGACCGTCGACGCCTTCCCTTCATCTAAGTATATATAGTGGTTACCGTTCCCTCCTTTGCTCTTAGAAAACCAAGGGCCTTTGACACTCTCCGATATCATCTTTGAATTTGAACCTTTGCGTTACAAGCCCCAATAAGCCCTTGTCACAGCAGCTCCATGTCATCCCACAGGTCCGGCGGCGACTCCCATCGGCGGCGTCACAGGCGTCAGTCGAGCGCACGAGATGGCCCCAGGCCACCCAGTCCCGCTGAGATTCTACAAGAGGCCCAGAACATGTTGAGAGATTTGCAGACCCAATCCGAGGGCTATACAACTCAATATAACTACCATGCCAGGGAGGTTAGGAGGCTGCAAATCATGTTGGAGAGTGCAACCAATGAGCGAGCATTGCTGTCGAATTCAGCAGCCGCAGCGCAGGCGGCTCGGCAGGGCAGGATGGTCGACCATGCTGAAATGGAAGCGAAACAATGGCAGTTGGACAGGGACATAAAGTCTCTTGGGTCGTCTCTTCAACACTACAAGAATGCCTCTGCCTGTATGCAGCGTTTGTGGAATGCCGTTGAAAGGGAAATCCAGTGGTTGCAACAGGAAATTGAGAACCTCAGGTCCCCTCAGGCATAATCTCGTTGTGGATAGGCAGTTCACTATTCCATTGAGTGTCTTGTCTGGTGCGAAGGTGCAGCTTTTGTAGCGGACCAGGATGTGGGCCAAGAAGAAGCCAATTATTAAACGATACTCATCTTTCCTAGTGAATAATATAAGAGTATAAGTACCAGTTATCTTTAAATATACATAAAGATATATTATTATACCACAATTAGATGCAGCAATAAAAGTATCTAGTATGTAGGCGGTAAACGGTTATTGGCTTATCGATCCCGTGAACCAATGCTTGATGTGATTGGATAAGAGCGCGTAGTTGTTGCGTCCTGACATTTCAGGCAGTAATGTTTGCTAGCATATCCGCATGCACGCATTGACCGTTCTCTTTCATCCGGCACCCATCCTCCAAGATGAGAGATTTGATCCTCGACGCAAAAGCCCAAGAAGCACCACAACGCTTTATTGCGTCAATAGACCAGAGCGAGATTCTCAAGCTTGCTTCATCGTACCACGACAATGAACCCTGCCAGATGTTTCAACCTGTCAAGCATGGCAGTTTCAATGTCTGCTTCTTTGTCCAATTCGCGACGTCGAGCTCTGATGGGGTGCCTGACCGATGGGTTGTGAGACTTCCTATTCCTGAAGTAGTCCCTTGGATAGATGAGAAGATGGACGTAGAGATTGCCACGATGAAGTGAGTTTTCCGAGGCTTGTATTGAAAGGATGTCTCTGACGACAGGGTAGATACGTGGCAGCCAACACCACAATACCTGTCCCCAGGATACGGGCGCATTCTTCCGCCAAGAATAGTCCTATCAAGATGGCGTTCATCATCATGGACTACATAAAAGGGAAAAACCTCAGGGAACTCGGCTTTCCGAAGGACCTTGATGTCTGGTGCTCAGTGACCACGCAGCCCACTAGAGCCCGAGAGAAAATGTACCAGAATTTGGCCCAGGTCTACATTCAACTACGGCAGCTGGAATTCCCCGAGATTGGCGCTCTTGGCCTTCCAAAGGAGGACCATGACCAGAGCATCCGGGTTCGCCACCGGCCACTATGTATAGAAATTCTTCTCCAGCAACGCGAGGGTCTAGCGCCTGCTTCCAGGTTCCCCGAGCATAAAACATTCAAGACGTCAAAGGAGTACGTGGATGCACTTCTCTGGCTGGGAGACAATCTGCTCGACAAGGGGACGAATTCCATGCTTGACATCCGTGGTGAGCGTGGTTTATATGCCTCGCACGACTTTAGAAGGTTTGTAATGGAGTCATGGCTCGATGCAGCTCAAGATTGCGGCCCGTTTGTCTTGGTACACGGTGACCTAGCCATTCAGAACCTCTTGTGGGACGATGACCTCAATTTGGTGGCGGTGCTCGACTGGGAATGGAGCAGCGTCATGCCATTGCAGTTCTTTGTCCCCCCTCCCTGGTTAGATGGCAACTCGATCGATTTTCTGTGCCATGGCCAGATACTCTACAACTGTGAAGTCAGCATCTTGTGCGATATAGTGCGAGATCAGGAGAAATCTTTGGGGTTTGGATGTTCCACTCTACTTTCTGATGAGTGGGATAGACGGAAAGACTGGTGTCACACGTTGGTGGTATGTGCCCTACTCCGCCCGGAGTATGTTTTTGATGCCTACTGGTTCTTCATCAGCTACACTCTTGTTGGATTCCTACCGCGTACACCGCAACAAACCAAGAAGTACGTCGAAATCACTTCACGACAAATCGCGCTGTTCATGGAAAATGAGGATAGAAAAGCGTTCTTATCCAGGAAGCAAGAGGAGCAGAAGGTGTATCTCAAGGAGGAAGAGGATTACTTTGGGCCTTTGGATGACTGTCAAGATATTGGCAACTAGTATTGTTGGCTGATAGGACCCTACCGTTTGTCGAAATACATTCACGTCGAGGATCCTCTCTCCCAAACTCTACAATATTATGTCTCGTCCCTTGGCGGTCGCTAAATGTGAGTTATGATGCCATCTTCAGGAGAGCAAAGCGACAGATGTACAGTTATAACTTATAATAGGCAATTTGGACATGACGGAATGGATAATGCCAGGTTATGCATTGGTACAGGAAAAGTAAGGCTGCGAATTCAATCAATTTTCCTCGACCATTGCCAATCGACCTTGTTATTCTTGGATTCGCACAGTCTCTGGCCAAAGTCCATCTTCTCTTGGATCTCACTCCTGGCTTCCACGCGTCTTGCCGGCCATATTTCCCTGCCATCTCCCTGCTCGCCGTGCCGGTAGCAGCCTCACTCAAAAAGACCTTGCATATCAAATTTTGGTTAGCCGTTGGAAGATGGCAGATTTAGTACATTATATCGCCTAGATGCTTCCATACCTAGGCTCTACTCTGGTACGTGCAACGCATGGATATGCGACCTCTAGCTTGACTCGAACCAATCATTGCGTATTTGGTTTGGTACCAATGTGGGATACATGCTAATTTATCAGCTGGCTGTAGATTGCTCCTATTATTTCCGTATGTTGCTTTCCGCATCCTTTTTATTCCCCGTGATATTTCGGCATTCGCGTTGAATCAAGCCACTCATTTCATCATTCAGCACCGAAACTGATACTATGCGCAACAAACATTTTGCCACCGCCAGAGTTAATTTTCTGGTCTTGGCCGCTATTGACGGACTGGTACCCCGTTCCCCCGGACGAGATACTCTGGTTGAGATTTGTCCCCGGGCCATCGAAATCCGAGTCCGGCACGGATGACTCCACGTGGGATAGTTGATCAATCGCCTCTTTGAGCAGAGCCATCTGGCTCCTAGTTGCCGTCTTGAACAACTGGTTGGTGGCCAGTGCGTCCAAGTCTCGTAGGATGCCTTGCATCAGGTTCTCTACTCGGTGTGCTTTGCCCAAAGGGCGCAGGTAATTGCGGTAGAAGTCCAGCAGGGACCCATCTTTGGTACTTTTCACCCCCTTTCCGACCTTATCAAAGATGTCCTGCAGTGCCTTGGCCTTCTCTTTGCAAGCACTAACCACAGGCTGGATCGCAATTTTTGACGGCTCATCCAAGGGAAGGCCCAGGAGCTGATCACGGGCCAGGTTCAGAGTGCTTTGCACGAGAGGGAGGTTGCGGTTCACTTCTCTGAACTCATTCGGAAGACCGCTGAGGTGTTGGATTGCCTTGTATGTCATGGAGATGGCTTGAACGATGGCCAGTGTGGACGCAATGATGCTCAGGGGATCCATTTCGGTTTTCAGCGTGTGGGCTGCGGAGTGTCTGAGTAGGCGGAGTCAATGATATGAGCTGCTCAATAAGGGGCCAGTTATTGGGAGACGCACGTCCTATTTACGATTCTGTGCGGCGTTATGAAGAGTCAATACCTAGTGGAAATCGGCGTGGATGTTGAGGAAGCGCTCTGCCGCAGCGATGAGGCATGGGCATAACACGCCAGCGAAGGATAGCTTTCGTCCGCAATCGACAAAAGCCGCCTGACTGTGCCGCTAGACTGCGAGAGAACAAGACTAGCAACATAATAACAACGGATGGAATGAGTTATAAGAGTCTTGGACAGGGTGAAGTAGGAAAATAGGATGTGGAGGTGCAGGGGTGTAGGACAGCAAAGTGTCAAGCCCATGCCGAAATCTGACGGGAAATACGACACTAGTCTTAGCAGTCGCCACGTGTGGTGAGGAGTCAACTGGTCCTCAAATGTCAAGTTCGAATGGCTACTCCGTACATCCCTTGCCACAGTCAGCAGGACAACCCGGCGCTACCCGCGTCAACATGAATGAGGGCAGTCGGCCCCCAGGATCTGGAGCAGGACCGGGGCGAGGCCAGCTCCATTCTTAACTTTGCAAGCCTGCACGTGGTCAAAGAGGATCTGCCTCCTTGTACTCGATATCACGACCACATTCAGGAACAGGTAGTTTACTACCTAGGCAGCGAGCAATAGAGTCCCGCTGTTATAGCCACGAAGCTGTTGCTCACCCGCGAGAGGTCACTGTCACGAAGGGTATGCACATCCCCCCTCCGGATGGACGAACTGGTCTGGTCGACGTTTCCCCGCTCCTCTCGTTTTACCCCTCCAGGTGTGCCCTTTCTCAAGGCCGACCTTCCAGGGCCTCGTTCGGATAGAGCCGGATCAATGATGTTATTGTCAATTCTCCTTTGGCTTAAACAGCCAGATCACTTATCACAAATACTGCCCAACCTCCCACCTCTTGCATATGACCAGGTGATTGGTCGCACCTCGTTTTGACCCGGCTGCCAAACCCAGCTCGTTGATAAATCTCGCTACAGATCGCCAATGGATCACTCCGTACCTCGCTCTCTTTTCCTTCATACCGTCAGAAGGGGTCAGATACCGCCCGGTAATGTCGATCAAACTTACGCCGCCTACGACGGCCCAACAAGATGTGTAACGGAGTTGGCGGGTTAACGAAGAGCACCGGAAAAGGAGCCTAAGCCGGCCGATGGAAATCGCGTCGGGAGTGAAGCGCTGGATGCTGTGCTTGAATTCTACGGTGCTACAACCCACAGCCGCCGACTATTCGTCCACGTAAACTTGCATGATGTCGCATTTAAATTCTCACCTGAAGCTGACAGCTGACAACCACGCCGGAATAATTGGTGTGTTGCATGGGCACGGAGACGTGCCACAGCCGCTGGCCAAATGATGGCTGGGCTTGTGCCCTCAGTGCCCTCAAGCTGACCTCCCAGCTGCAAGCCTTCCTGTCTGTTGCACCTCCTCGCCAGTCTGGTGGTCTATTCTCTCCTTAATTTTTATGACCCATGAGCTAACCAGCTTGTCGGCAGCTAACGAATACTGCCCTGTCTCGAAAAACATTCCCAACTTTCGATTCCCACGTTGTGGCAGCGGACCAGCCCGGGACCGCGGCATCGCTCATTACACGACCCAATGGACGTCAAGTCATCCGTGCCAGACCCAGAGTCCAAGAGCTCCAGAACACACTATGAACAGAGTATTGGTTCCGGGGCAATGGGGCATCAGGTTATCAACGTTGGCCCAGACCAAAAGAACAATTACGGCGATGGCACCATGATCGTTGGGCATAATATAAACTTGGGTAAGAGATCACAGCCTTGGTAGCTAGGTCCTATTACCAATGGACTAATCATTCCTTGAAAGAGCAATCCAACAAACTAACGCGGGACGAAATCCTCAAGACACTCAACAAATCGCCGTACGAGAGGAGAAAGAACAGGAATCCAGATCGTGTCCCAGGGACGTGTGAGTGGTTCACAGGACACGATTATTTTAAGCAATGGCAAGAAAGTAAATCGTCAAGTATGCTCTGGGTATCTGCAAATCCCGGGTGCGGAAAGTCGGTTTTGGCTAAATATCTAGTCGACTCTAAACTCAAGTCTACAAAATCCAGAACAATCTGCTATTTCTTCCTCAAAGACGACTTTCAGGATCAGAGGAGCGTGAAAAGCGCTCTTAGTTGCATCCTTCACCAACTCTTCACAGAAAGAAAGGATCTTTTCTCTAATAATATCGTCAGGCGGTTTAGCGGCTATTCAGCACCCCTTGCCAATTCATGTTATGAACTATGGGAGCTCTGGGACGTCCTGGTTATGGCTTCACAAGATAAGAACGCCGGCGAGATAGTCTGTATTCTTGATGCATTCGACGAATGCGAAGATCATGAACAACAGGATCTTGCGAGTGCCTTGTGCGATTTCTATGGGCCGGGGAATGACGCGAAGAAGAATGTCAGCTTGAAGTTTCTCGTGACAAGTCGGCTCCATAACGACATCGAACGTGGCTTCCAGCCTCTAAAAATACCGGAGCTGCCTGTCATTCACCTCAAGGGAGAAAGCGATGCAGAAGTATCAAAGATTGCAGGAGAGATTGACCTCTACATAGTAGATGCAGTTGCGCGTATCCGGGAAGATAAAGGTCTTCAGCAAAGCGACGAACAATCACTCTTGCAAGGGCTGCGGGCCATTGGCAATAAGACATATCTATGGGTTCATCTCACACTGGGATGGATTAAAAGCGTGGTTAGCAACACCATCACTGAGGTTGACATACGCTACGTTGTTAATTCGCTTCCACACTCCGTCGACAAGGCATACGAGAAAATTCTAGCCAGAAGTACGAATCCGGAAGAAGCCAAGAAGTTGCTGCACATTGTCGTGGCAGCAGCACGGCCATTGACTCTGGCAGAAATGTATCTTGCGATAACAATACAAGAAAAGCACAAATCGTATAAGAAGCTGGGTAGTAGACCAGAAAACTTCTTTAAAGAGCACATCAGAGACCTCTGCGGCCTCTTTGTGAACATCTCAGAAGACTCGAAGATCTATCTCCTTCACCAAACTGCGAAAATTTTCTTGGTCCGCAAAGACGATCCCGATCCTCTCCAGGACCAAAAGAACCAGCGCTTATGGAAATCGTCACTGCAGCCACAGCTGTCCCACCGAATTCTTTGCCAAATCTGTATCTGGCACCTGCTTTTCAATGAATTTGAAGACCAACCTCTAGAGGAGACCGGGAAAGCTGATGACTACGTTGGCGGTCACGTCTTCCTCGAATACTCTGCTACCAATTGGGCCGCCCACTTTCGAGCGTCTGATATCGAAGACGATAGCATTATAGAATGCCTGAAGAAACTTTGCGATGCAGGTTCTAATCGTTGTCTGACCTGGTTCAGGATTTACTGGGTGAAAACACACGGTGGATTTCCTCTGGATTTCACGGCCCTTATGATTGCATCGTATTTCGGACTCGAGCGCATTGTAAAGCTTCAGCTTGGATTGAGAAATGTCAAGATAGACTCCAGAGACGGTACCTACCAGCGTTCGGCGCTCTCCTGGGCTTCAGAGAACGGGTTTAGCGGTGTCGTAAAGCTGCTGCTCGAGGGCCCGAAGTTTCGCCTCAAAACACTCGCAACCAGGCCATGGCTTTTGAAAGCAGCGAAAATCGATGCAAGGGATAGACACGGTAGAACGCCACTGTCATACGCCGCTTGGAATGGTCATCAGGCCATCGTCCAGCAACTGGCCAGTAAAGGCGCTCGGGCCGACTCAAAAGATGACATTGGAGGAACGCCAATTTCCTACGCTATTTGCACTGGACAGCAGGATATAGCTAACCAATTAATGAAAGGAGCTCAGGTTGATTCAGTAGACGAGATCCGTCGGACTACACTGTTGTCCGCGACGAAAAAGGGCCATGAACACATCGTCAAACGACTGCTCGATAATGGCGCCGATATCGAGGCGAAGGATAAATATAACGAGACGCCGCTTTTTGGGGCTATTCTAGAAGAGGATAAGACTATGATAGAGCTACTGCTTGAGAAGGGCGCTAATATTGAGGCGAAGAATAGCAATGACGAGACGCCGCTTTTTTGGGCTATTCTAGGAGAGGATAAGACTGTGATAGAGATACTGCTTGAGAAGGGCGCCAACACCGAGGCGAAGGATAACAAGGACCAGACGCCGCTCTTTTGGGCCATTGAGGTGGGGGATAAGACTGTGATAGAGCTACTGCTTGAGAGGGGCGCCAACATCGAGGCGAAGGATAACAAGGACCAGACGCCGCTCTTTTGGGCCATTGAGGTGGGGGATAAGACTGTGATAGAGCTACTGCTTGAGAGGGGCGCCAACATCGAGGCGAAGGATAACAAGGACCAGACGCCGCTCTCGTGGGCCGCTCAGTGGGGGAAAGAGGCCGTGGTAAAGCTATTACTTGAGAGGGGCGCCAACATCGAGGCGAAGGATAACAAGGACCAGACGCCGCTCTCGTGGGCCGCTCAGTGGGGGAAAGAGGCCGTGGTAAAGCTATTACTTGAGAGGGGCGCTGATATTGAAGCAAAGAATGGGACATATGGCCAGACGCCGCTTTGGTGGGCTGCTCGGTACAGGCGCGAGGCCATGGTACAGCTCCTGCTTTTGAGAGGCGCCAATATCGAGGCGAAGGATAAAAACAACCAGACGGGGCCGTTCAGTGGGGGGATGAGGACGTGGTAAAACTACTGCAAGAGATATCCCTATAATACCTAGGCCTCTAGCTCCCTTTCAGAATATAGCACCTGCATGGCCTTTCTCACAAGTAATCCACCCCTTTAATACCTGGTCTTGGCTTCTAAATTGTTTTCTATCATGGATAGCTCAGGAATATTACAGTCTCAACGTTATATCAGATACGTATTTGAGCCTTGCACCTCTGGTTCAGCTATAGCAGCGCATTATCTAAGGTTTAATACATTTTATCACAGGTGAGTCAAAGGGTTCTTGGTTTATTTATACTTGGCTTCATTATACAAGGCGTGGCAACTTAAGCCGATTATAAATGTATTATAGCAATCGCGCGCGTACCCGGATAGGGTTCGGCTGTATGCAAAATTTGGCTTCGAGACTGTCGACCGTGTTGAGACGCCTCAAGGCACCATGACGACTCCACGAGCATGCTTCGGCCATCTCAACAAGCATGACATGAAATCAAGTGGATGGGCCATGTGAGCTACGACGACTGACTGGAGAATTTCAGACCTCGTGCAATCATTTCCAGCTGGATGTTTTTCTCCAGGACGAAGTTGACAGCATGCGAGCTCCATGATGTGGATACCAGGATCTGTTGCACCCGGCGGGCCGTCCCGGTCGGCCGGCCCGGGCTATGATCCACATTCGGCCGCAGATTTCCTATTGTAGCTCGTGATGATGCGTCGTTAGCCACACATTCTTCCATTTAGAACAAGTACGGGGTATCAAGTATCCTGTTCGGAATTATTCGGCAGGACTTATGGCTCCACGGCTCAATCGCAGCTTTAAGGGAGGCATGAACGTGGCTACGCTCGTATGCGCATAAAGCGTCCGTAGAGCGTCCAAAAATTGCTAGGCATTCTGCCCAGCTCGTAAAACTCCATATGGCAGCGCAACTCTTTGAGGCTGAGAGAAATGCCACCTGAGGGCTTCGTCTGTGTCAGCCGCTGGCAATCTAAGGGACGGCGACACCCGCAGATTTGGCAACACGCTTGCATCAGCCCCCAAGCCAAAGCCATGTCTCCTTTTAACCTCGCACACTAAATGCAATAGCTTGGGGCTGTGTGAGTAGAGAAGTAGGCACACAGGGCTGAGCCAGCCCAGGTGAGCCATCATAATGTATTAATAGCCTCTTCAGCCGAGTGTGTCAGAACGGGTTCGAGGCCCTGCCGGAGTCGGTGGCGCACCCAACGTGCGATTCCGCCGCCTAGCATTGGACATTGTGCGCAGGCCATTGAAGAATATTGATTTCAGCTCCGTTCAGGTCTGCGCAGGCCAGAACTTCACTGGAAAACATCCAGCATTCGTTGCGGGCGCCATCCTGCTGATCGCAGTCGGGATGGACGCGTCGCCGTGGAAATCGCGTGCGGCCAAGTTATTAAATGCATGCTCCGCTCCGGTGTGAAGCATCTCGAGCACCCGGATAGTCCAAAGAGCGAATCACATAGGTGCGACAGTAGACATTGCTGCCGTGCCCTCCGAGAACCCTTGCCCGCCATGCCGACAGACAAGGAGAGCCGTTCGAATCTGCGCCGACTCCGTAGTCGCCCGGTATGCATCATCTGCGGCCGGCCGGCCGAAGCACAGGAGATTGCGCGGGCGCTTGGCATCGATGACGAAAAGCACCGGCTCAGCGGCCATGACGTATCCATGGTGAGAGACGGCCACACATTCCACTTGGGCGAATTCAAACTACCGTCCGGGGATATCCTAAAGTACTACATTACGAGTTCCCTGCGCCAGGGAATCCAGTCCTTTGCCGTCAGCGCGGCCATACTCTTCAACACGCTTTCTCCTCGGTTCGTATTGCACGCGGGCGTCTGCGCCGGCTTCGACGACCCCACGGGGAAATTGGAGCTGGCGCTGCGCGATGTAGTATTTGGCGAAGCGGCCATCAACTACGAAGAGGGCAAGTGGGAGGCGCAAGGACCCGGTGGGAATGCGGTATTCCTGCCGGACTACAAGCCGGTCGCTGTCGAGGCCGGAGACATGCAGGGGTTTACCAAGTCGCACAAACGGCACGGTATTCGTTACGGCGAGTACATATCTGGGTCTTCGGTCCGAGGCGACGCCGCGCAGGTATTTGAGAAGATTCGATCGTCGGTGGGTAGATGTGCTCATTCATTTACATGTTGGACGAAGCCTGATTCATAGACTAGGTCGGCCGAAACGCCATCGCTCTCGATATGGAAGCGAGCGCGTTTATCCAGCTCTGCAAACATTTCGAGCCAAAGGGTCCCATTTGCCTAGGTGTGGTGAAGGGAATCTCTGATTTTGGGGACTCGAAAAAAGGGGAAGACGCGTCTGCCTACTCTGATGCCCTGAATAATACGGCCGTTGCCATAAAGGATTGGCTCACTCATAGAATTCCCAACACGAGGTGGGAAGTTGATGAGAGTACGTGTCGGAGAATTGTCATGGGGTACGTTGATGGAAATGCCAGGACTGCCACTGACTTGTACATGTAGGCGATGAACCTGGTGCCAAGCTAGTGTCTGGGTATTACGAGAACTTTGTCCGCCGTGTGATAGACAATTACCTGGAAGGGCTACCGATTGCATATAGACACCGGCCCGAGGTTGCGGTACGTTTGAAAATATCTTCCCAACGCCAGACACCACTAAATGTTGGCAAAGATACCCGCCAGCGAGATCAAAGGCTTCATTTCGGTTCTACCGAAAGACCAAGACCCACAGTTTGTCAAGGAAATTGGCCAGATCCAACGGACAATATTAGAATATGGTGTAGAGGAGATCAATATTGGAACTGTAAGCGTCTTTTCGGGCATTCGTCCCCTGACGAGCACCGCTAACAGAATGAAAGAATGCTGCCCAGCGATACGTTCATTACAAGGGAGGGTACTTCCTCGACTGGTGCCGCACCGTAAACAGTCTTGTTGACGAGGAAGATGCCGAGTATCAGGTTGGCGTCTTTGGGAGAACCTTGCGAAAGCAGGCGTATTACAAGCAGGCTGAAGCCAAGGGTCCTCTGGCGCAAGTTCTTCCATGGGAAGAGGCGATGCACTTGCTAACCGATCTGAAGAATGACACGCAGAACATTCATCGGCAAGATGTAGAGCTTGTTGGAAAGAGATATGAAGAAACATTGCCTCGGGCCAAAACACAGAGAGGTTCTACTATGGCAAAGACGGAGCGAAAGTCGTCGGTCTCTCAGCTATTCACGTTTGGAAGATTTCGTCGACACCATAAGCCTAGTGGCAAAGAACAGGAGGCAGCAGTGAGCCCTCTTCCAGTAGTTGGCTGCAAATGAACTTGATCTGATTTATTTTGACGCGTTTTGTAGAATAAAGGGAAATATTGGATGGTTAATAGGTGGTGTATTTAGTATAGTATGGATGTAAGACCAGCGGTTCGAATACCAAGTTTTCTTTGATCAGTACGGAAATAGAAAATATCCAAACTTGTCTCTCGGATCTTTCTCGTCAATTTACCTGCGACTTTTTACAATTTCTTCTGTTATGTCTATGTGAGCATGTTCACAGAGTAAAGCCCAGAGACCAAAGGTGGTTGCACGGGCTGCCAACACAGCATTGAGCTGACACGAATGTGGAGAATGGGGAAGCACCAAAAGGGGCAGGCTGAAAATTGTGGCGTCTGATAGTCTCAGCTCGTCACTTTTATTGTTGTGGTTGTGAAACATATCAGCTTATGTACATTTCAGCTGCAGTGCGCCTTGCCATCGAGACAGCAACCGCCTGCAGATGGTCGACCGTGGTCTCGAACTCCCGAGTTTCGACCAGGACCAGGGTGCAAATCCCGAGTTGACTTGTTACCCTCGTATATTCCATCACGGAGACGTAGATAAAGTCGTACGGCACCCAAGATGTGCTAGATGTTGGTGCTATTTATACGCAGGGCGTTCAGAAGTAACTGCTCAAGGCCTTCAACTTTTCAATCTTCGGCGGGGCGGTTACTCATTCTCCTCATGGAAGGCTCCAGCAAGAAGAGAGCCTTCAGCGCCTCTGGCAATCCTGGAGGCGAGCAGGCGGCAAGGAAGCGACACCGTCTACCTCAGACCTGCGAGTGGGTGCGTCAGGAGCCAGTGTACCAGGCGTGGAAGGCGTGGAATGAGAGCAGCTCACCCGTCTTATGGATTCAAGGCCCAGTGGGCATAGGCAAGACGTTTCTGGCCGACTTCATTGCCGGCGACGTCGTAGGGGTCAGCGATGAATCACCGGTACTCACGACACACTGTACGGCACAATCTACTCCGGCGTTGTTAGTACATGACCTCGCAGCTCAACTTATATCATGTCCAGAAGCGCGCGACCTTGTAAAGATACGGGCTTCCAAACTCGTCGATAATACACACACAGGCACAGGGAGTCTGCCATACGATGCTAGCTACAAAATCTGGGACGAGTTCAGGTTTCTCGTCAAAGAGTCACCGCGCCTGACGCTTATAATAGACGGGCTGGACGAGTTGCCAGACGAGTCCTTATCACACTTGAAGTTCGACCTTCCGTCCAAGTTGGTTGAGCTGACCACGATACTGGCCGGACACGTCAGACTGCTTGTGCTCAGTCGGCCACAAGCCAGCATCCTACGCGCACTCAGGGATTCGCCCACTATTCAAGTAACAGCCGCCAAAGTTGCCGACGACATGAGACGGTTCTGCTCATCAGAAGCCGCCAAATACCCACAGCTAGGCTCGGAAGCCGACAATGTCAGCACAGCTGTAGCCCGGAAATCGGAAGGCATCTTTGTCTGGGCGTCACTTGCCATCAAAGTTGTCGCGAATGACACCGAAATCAACAAAGGCAATATTGACTCACACTTGGAGCGCCTTCCTACTTCTCTGAATCAACTTTACCGAGACTCGTTTGCGCAGCAGTCCAAGGACCTCCCCCAGACCCTTATTATGCTTCGAGACAGTATTCTGCGATGGCTGGCCTTTTCAACAAGGCCAATGACACTTGCGGAAGTAGCAAACGCCATATCTGCGGAAACCAACATATTCATCGCCGA